CCATTGCAGATGTAAGTGTGGATGCTATCTCTTGATAGTTCTTAGCATGTCTAAAGATTACAGCATCATCTGCATACATCTGAACATCAACATTTTTACATGGCTCTGGCAGGTCATTTATATACAGTGTAAACAGGATTGGACCAAGTATGGAGCCTTGGGGGACTCCTACTGGACATTCACAGAATGGGGACTTTGAATCATTAATACGAACACACTGCTTTCTACTGGACAGGTATGATTTTATCCAGTTGAGAGCTTGATCAGAGAAATTAAAATATGTTAATTTAGATAAAAGAACTTCGTGATTAACAGTATCAAAAGCTCGCTTTAGATCTAGGAAGACAGCACCAACATAAGAACTCTTATCTAGGTAGCCTTTAACCTTTTCCACAAATAAACAGTTAGCTGTCTCTGTTGAATGATGAACCCTGAATCCAAATTACATAGGGTGGAGTGAATTATTAATTTTATTGAGATGTTGAATCAGAAATTTAGCCACCCATTTTTCGACAATTTTAGAAACAACAGGCAAAATACTGATTGGCAGATAATTGGCCATGTCAGATCTTTCACCTGTTTTAAAAATGGCTGTGACCTGGGCCATCTTCCATGTTGATGGCACAATGGATTGTCTTAGGGACTGATTAATCAGATATGTAATAGGCTGTATAAGGGTCTCTTTGTGCCTTTTTAAAAAATTTGTATCAAGGCCATAGATATCCATGGCCATTTTTTAAGCTACTGATAGTATTTGCTACTTCTGTTTCAGTTATTTGTTGTAGGTGAAAAATACGCTGTGCATAATTAATGGAATTAAAGACTACAATGCACTCCCTGATGCGATGCTGTAGTAGACGGTTGCATAGTTATAATTTTCTCCCTGATATTATCAATCTTATAAGTGAAGAAGTTCATAAAGTTCTTACTGCTGTGCTGCTTGGAAACTTCTGAGTTTGAGGCTTTATTTTTAGTTAGTTTAGCCACCGTTTCAAATAAATACCTCGGGTTTTGTTTATTTTCTTCTAATAGGGTTGAAAAATAAGCAGATCTAGCAGCTTTTAAGGCATCTCTGTATGCGATCGAGCTCTCCTTCCATGAAATGCAAAATACTTCTAGTTTTGTTTTCTTCCAGTTGCACTCCATTTTTCTGGCTGCTCTCTTAAAGGAGAACTCCGGCGCAAAATGAACCTTTGGTCTAATAAAACATTGGTACCTAGTCAACCGTTCTCTGAGATTTGTTTTCATGATAATCGAATGTAAAGAGTTTTATCTCTAAAAACTGTTTAGCGTATAACGCTAGTAATGGGGGCATTTAATAAGTAAAAAGAAATCGCTAGTTAATACCACTAACAAGGCTCAAAATAGCCCCACACGAACACAGTAACATAATGAGGGTCCCTACATGCAAAACAAAGCATTGAGAACTTTGTAAGTGTACAGACCGTTTAATAAGAAGATATTTTATAAAGACAGTCCACTTCGTGTATACAGACAGGAGCCATCTTTGGAAAACAGTCTCAACTAGTCTGTATACATGAAGTGGACTGTCTTTATAAAATATCTTCTTATTAAACGGTCTGTACACTTACAAAGTTCTCAATGCTTCGTTTTGCATGTAGGGACCCTCATTATGTTACTGTGTTCGTGTGGGGCTATTTTGAGCCTTGTTAGTGGTATTAACTAGCGATTTCTTTTTACTTATTAAATGAGTCTGTTCCCAGCCATCATACACTACGTGATTTTCGGAGAATTCTGTCAACTCCGAAGGCACAAAATCTACTGACTGGCGCAGACATCCGGTAACTACTGCAGACTCAAAAATCTGAGCAAAAATCATGTAGTTAATTCCAGCCTTAAGCGAGAGAGCAACGGCAAAAATGTAACAGCAAAGACAGACAGGAGAAGCGGAGAGATCAAAAAAATTCATGTTGAATTTAACTTTTTAAAAGTTGATTTTAAGACTCTAAATGTAAGGCATATTGATGCTTATCTAGTCAGTAACCTAAAAGGAATACATTTGGGTGAATGACAGTTGTTTGGTGAGTTTTGTCTCATTTTGTTGAATTCGTTTGGTTGAATATGCTGTGTTAACGCCATTAAAAATTTGAATGTTTGCCGTCTCTATAGTGGAAGTTGTTTGTAATTCAATGTTTAAAAAGACGGAGTTGTGAGTACAAAATGCCCACTCCACTGCAATTTTGAGCTGCTTGAGTAACATAGCAGTGACGTTATGCTCTATGGTTTTGTATATTTTATTGGAGTTATTTGTATTTATGTAGTAATATGATGTCTTTTATGACCTGTTGTGCAGGTCAGTTTTTTTGTTCCAGTTAAAAAAGTTTGATATTTGGACAAAGATTCTTCCGTGGTGATTAAGATGGAGGGCCAGCCCAGAATGTGAATCTCATCTCCTTTCATCAGCAAGAAGACCTGTTACATTACCCAGTAAACTCACAGAGCGGTAGGAGTGATTGGATTGGATGTTGGATGACGAATCTTTTTCTACCTTTTCCATTCAACACTTTTCCTTTTTTTTTTTTCTTTTTTTTTACATCAGACAAATTGAATTATATTACACACACAAACTGAACTACTACACATATTGAAGGAACTGAACTATTTTACACCTATTTATTTTTCATTGTTTTATATTGTTGTTGTTATATGTGATTGTGTTTATTTCACTTTGCATCGAGTACAACGAAGTTAAATGGGCTGAAAAATATGGAAGCTTGTTTCCGCCACATAATAAAACATTTGAAAAGATAATAGCAATAATTCCTCAGAATTGTGAGATATAAGCTCTCAATTGCAAGTTATAAAGTCAGAATTGCGTGATATAAAGTCTCAATTGTAAATAAAACTACAAATACTGTCTTAAGCAGGGTAAATAAAGTCTTAATTTGTAATTTGTGGCCCTTCACATTTTATGCCATTTAAATCTGTCCCTTTTGGTCTCTGAACTTTAGTACCCCTGCTCCAGTCTGTAATTGTGACTTTATCTATCATGATCACGCAGGTGTGTTAAAGTGTATGCTGTTCAAACAGAAAATGCCGTTGTTTACCTAGTTGAGTATATTGGGTCGATGCAAACTACATGCAATGTTTAATGCAAACAGGAAAACATTTGAAACTGTGGAATCATAATATTAAGGTAAAACTGCCTGACAGAACTGTTTGCTGACAAAGTTTATTTAAGAACAATTATTTCAAAATGTTGGTTATGGGTGGGGTTAAAACAAAGGAAGATTGTTTGCATGGGTCATACATAATGTCAAGATATTAGATATTACAACACACCCTGCGAGTCTCTGAGGACAAACTATAAATGCAAGGGTAAGACTTACTCAAAGTGAACCTTGATCATATACTGTACACATTTATATTATAATGATGTATGTACATGATGTACATGTATGTACAATGTGAATTTTATAAAATTATAAAAATTCTGAGATCTCCATCTGGTATTGAGACAGAGAGAAAGGATGTGAAGAAACACTACCATTCAAAAGTTTGGGTCAGCAATGACGCATTGAATTGATCGGAAGTCACAGTAAAGACATTTCTAATTCTACAAAAGTTTCCATTTAAAATAATAGCCATTCTTTTTCAACTTTGTATTGATCAAAGAATCCTGAAAAAAATCATGGTTTCCACAAAAAAAAAAAAAAATTAAACGGCAAATTCTTTTCAAAACTGAAAATAATAATAAAAGTTTATTGAGCAGCAAATCAGCATTTTAGAATGATTTCTGAAGGGTCATGTGACACTGAAGACTGGAGTAACGATGCTGAAATTCAGCAGTAATAAATTACATTTAATATATTAAAATAGAAAACAGTTCTTTTAAATCATAATAATATTTCATAATATTACTGTTTTTACTGTATTTTGCTCTAATAAATGCAGCCTTGATGAACATAAAAGACTTCTTTCAAAACCATAAAAATAAAATCTAACCCGAACTTTTGAATGGTGGTGTACATTGTGGACAAAAGCCAAGTCCTAAACTATCATCCTGATACTGGTAAATGTTCTCACTGGCCACCAGCACTTTAACAAGGATTTTTGAAAAGTAAAACAAAAACTAAAGTTAATGTTTGCCTCCGCAAAGTGCATTAAGGCATATTTGTGCCAGAATGCCCACCACACACCAGCTTATTGGTGGAGAGGAGACAAAGTGATGAAGCCAATCAGTATATGGGAATGATTTGGACACCATGATGATAGACAGAGGCCAATGGGCAAATCTGGGCCAGGATGCTGGGGTTAAACCCCTACTCTTTTTCCAAGGACATCCTATGATTTTTTTATGACCACAGATGGTCAGGACCTCGGTTCAACGTCTCATTCGAAGGACAGTGTTTTTTGACACTATAGTGTCCCCATCACTATACTGGGGCGTTAGGACCCCCTGCTGGCCTCACTAACACCTCCTCCAGCACCTGTTTTCCCAGGAGGTCTCCCATCCAGGTACTGACCAGACTCAACCCTGCTAAGCTTCAGTGGGCAATCAGGGGAGAGCAGCAGAGTGACTGCTGTTGACTATAATTCATTATAACATTTATTGGAAAGAATTATGCAAAAGAGAGAGAGAGATCTGCATGTGTGAATTACCTGCATCTGTGCAGCATCTCTCTCTACTAACAGTGAAGCTGTGAGTTTAATTACTTCAAAACAGCTGATAAATATAATGTAGGGATTCAGTAGCAAACGTACTTTATTGATAAATCACAAGGCAGTGTTGACAGGTTTCCATGCTTCTGAATATTTCTGTGTGAGTGCAGCACGATCTCTGATCTCTGAGTGCGAGTGACGTGTGTGCGTGTGCTTCAATAAAGTCACCGCATTAATATAGAACCTTGCTTAAACTGACTGGAACTACCTGTGCAATACATGCTTGAACGCACACCTTCCAGCCAATCAGAATTGAGTATTCAGACAGAGAATGGTGTAATATGAAACAAATTATGCTTAGGGGTGTATTGAATCACCTCTGCTCCTCCTCCAGTTCTTCTTTGGTCATCATCTTTTCAAGCTGGCAGGTCCTCAGCATGCCAGCCATGTACTTTAAGGGTTTATTCTCAGCGTCTATTACAGAGAGGAAGATGTCAAACCACTGCAATATGTTCACAAATTTACCACAAGACACAAGTAAATTATTTGTAAGTAAAAGTAAAGTGAAAACAGCTTCCAAATAGCCAAACAGTAATGCTTGTGAAGCCTGCAAACTGTGGATTTGTTTAGTCAGTTTATCATGTTTAACAAAAGTAAAATACAATTTCCCTAGTAGACAAAATTTGCCTTAAACATTGTTTGCCAATAAGTCACGGACATTTATTATCATAATTTTTTACACACGTTAACTATTTTATGACCCATCCATCGTGATTCACTTTTGTGGCAATCACTTTTTGCGATTGCTTCTTTCCTTTAGCGACAAGCTTTTTTGTCTTTTGATAATTTTGTCAAATAATCTTGACAAATTGTCAAGTTTTTTGTTAACATCAAAATGTGCATTTATTCTAAACATGTGACAATATGTAGGAAATTACATATAAAGCATAAAAAAAGAAGTATACTTTAGCATACTTTTAAAAAAGTAATGTTTTCAGACACTTAATTGCATTGTAATATAAAAATAACACATTAAAGGTAAAATGAATATCAAGTACTTTACAAGTGCTTTGGCATGTTAGTCACCACATCAAAATAAGTGTACTTCTTTACAGTACGATCTAGTGATTTGAAATGTTCTTTAAAGTAAAATTAGACGTTGACGTGATTGGTTACAAGGTAGTTTGTGACGTCATAATTTCAGAAACACCAGCGATTTCAAACCGCGTATTTGAGACTATTTTTTTCACTGCAGTTTTAAGGAGAAAATACTCCGCAATGGTGTTGACATGAATTTGCACTTGGTTTGTCTTAAAGCTATTAAAAACACCACATAGACATATAAACAACATTAAAAACTTGATTTTCACCACAGGGCGACTTTAAGTACATTTAAGTGGGCTTATATTTTATGAGTATTATATTATCTTTAAGTACAGCTTTTTTTAAAATATACTTTAAGATTTGAAGTATGCAGTTAAGAGCACTTCTTTTTCACAAGGGTAAACCTACCATGACTAAGAAAATCCCCCTCTGTTCTAAAGCAATAAAGATAATGTATCATGAGCAACATTGTGTACAACACCACTAAATGACTACAGGAGAGATCAAAGTTTTAACAAAAATTAACAATATTTAATAATAGCATGTGGGTCACATTGAAAAAAAGAACTAAACATGGAACCTGAGGATACATTCCAATACAACGCAATTCTTGTTATTAAAAAAATTATTAAGTTATATGTACAATACATTTTTATTGAAGTAATTTCTGTGAATACATTTATATTCACAAATCTGAGGTCTGAAAAATAGTTTAAAACCAGTCTAATATAACACTTATGTAACCCACAAAGTCTTTATATTATAAGACAAATTAACAGTAAAGTAGTAAAGAGGGTTATATTATTATTATTATACCAGGCGATTGAGCATAATCCTTCAGAGCATTCCTTATCCCTGACTCAGAGGAATCCTCCCCCCATCCAATGGTGGAGTGAACTGGAGAATCAGACTTACACACTTCTTCCTCATTATCAGAGTTTGAATCCTGAGGTAAAGACAGAATCAGTAAATGGTTGATTGGAGAAATAGGTAACACTTTAGTTTAGGGTCCAATTCTCATTATTAACTAGTTGCTTATGTTTATCGGTTTTTGACATCACTACACTTGACTAGGATATTGGCTGTTTATTAGTACTTAAAAGCACATATTAATGCATTATTCTGCATGACCATATTCTACATCCCTAATCCTATTCCTATCCGATACCTAAACCTAACACCTACCTTACAAACTATTAATTAACTAGCAATAATTAGGAGTTTATTGAGGCAAAAGTCGTTGTTAGTTAATGGTGAGAATTGGACCCTAATCTTAAATGTGACTGAGAAATAATCAAGAAATAATTTTCTTTGTGTTTTTAATTGTCTTGTAATTTTATTAGAAAAGCAGAATAAATCCTTACCTTTACATGGTTCAGAGTTTCATCTTTGGCTTTGAGGCTCTTTCCACTAGATTGCAGCTGTTGTCTGGTTTCATTACAGTGTTTCTCAGGATGATACTGTGAGGAAGCTCCAGGATCTGGACGAGCTCTCTCCTCCACAAAAACAGTTTGATGGGTGCACTTTGACGGCACGGGGCCTTTATTTCTGCCCAAAACAACTGCTACTATAACTGCAAGCACCGTAAATAGCATCGCCGGCCAAAATAGATCTGAGGTTGCATCCATCATGACGACTATGGAATAACTTTCTTAGTTGGTATATCCGATTAACTATTAACTAACGCTGACGTAGGCGTTTTCTTGTTTGCTGACACGCGAATTTTAATAAATGCATACTTTGACCACGTGCAACTGCGATGAATTTATCTGTTTTTTAAAATCACTACACTTGACTCTATAGATCAGTCCCTATATAAATAAACACGAAATTTTATGGACTCCTTTCACACCGGAAGTTCCTATTTCAAAATAAAAGCTTTAGAAATGTCAGTCACAAAAGCACTGAAGCATTACAAAGATTGATTATTTTATTGAAGATATTTGAACGAACTTAACTTCGTATTATTTAAGTATTGTGTTTGTAAAATAACAATTCTACTACTAAATAGAATATCCACACAAATTAAAACTTTAATCTGTGCCAAGAACATGCTTGCATTTATAATACAGGATATGTATGCACACATTGTACAGAATATATTCAAATCTATGTTCAGTCAAAATGTTTACAACATTATTTGTAAGATGATCTTGTTCAAAATATTTAGTAGAATTAGTAGAAATAGCAGAATTAGTAGAAATATCAATGGTTATTTTTGTCTATTTGAATCTAATAATAGCCTACATCTTTACCATTCTTTCCTTTAATAATTGCATATCCATCACCACTGTTGTTATGGCTACAAGAACATATTTAAGAACCTTTTAAAAATATATAATATGTTTGCTTCTCTTAAAATGCCTGAAAATGTACACCTCGAATCATTAGCTTGGTACATTTCCTTACATCAACAAATACTAGTCAGATTTTGTATAATATGTTTGACTTTAAAAACTAATGGTTTAATGGGGTCATTTCACTATTTTCAGTTCCACGAACATGATATTTGTCCAGTACAAACCACAAATAGTGTAAAAAGATTTGACACCTATGACTGCAAGAAAGAGCAGCCTTATCAGATTTTATGTCTATATCGCCCTCATTATTAATTGTTTTAATGATGTGGAAATAAGTTGTTGTTCTGCTGTTAATGTCAGTCACATTGTATAAAAGACCTGAGGAGATTGCTGTATAGTTGTGCATTAGTTTAAGCCATTAGGGATCAGAACCAGAAAAGGTAGGTCTGAAGTCATTTGAATTCAACTATACTTGTGAATGGTGATGTTTTCTCATCTGTTTTGATGTATTAAATAAGGAAAAATGAAGGCTGCCGTATTTGCATTGGTTTTGATATGCCTGGGAAGTTCATGGACATGTGCAGGATCCCAGCCTCTTGATAGCAGGTAAGATCATATTTATCAAATCATTTTCAAATAATACATTTACATATGTATATAAAAATGTGCCAACACTTTATGATAAAGTTCCATTTGTTTGTTAGTTAAAATGAACTAACTTAAGAATGTATTACTTTTAGTTCATGTTAATTTCAACATTTACTATATATTATTAAAATCAAAAGTTATTTTAATATTATTTAATAGACATAAGCTTACATGAAATAACAATGAACAGCTGTATTTGTATTAAATAACGTCAAAAAGATTAATAAATACTGTAACAAATGTTTTAGGCCTAATGTTAGTTAATACAATAATAACATTAATTTAAAATGAGGGCTTATTGTAAAGTGTCAAGACAATTGAGAAGATTGTTTTGTTTGTATGCTTTATTTGCTTTGTTTTCAAATATCATTAATAGCTCAACAAATGGCGTCCAGAAGTTTAGCCGTCGTTATGCTGAATCAACCATTGCAAGTGACATCAGCAAAATTGTGGACTCGATGGTTCAGAAAAACTTTGTAAACTATTTGCTCAATCAGAGAGAGAAGAAGAGCGAGTAAGTTTGGGGAAATGGACAGCATGTATATGTTTATGTTACATATTCAGGTTGTATAAAGTAACAGGCATCTGATGCTCATTTACAGACCAACTATGGCAGATGATTCAGACACTCGCATCTTCAATGACCTGCTGAAAAAAGAGTTTGTGATGTTGGTTCAGAGTAAAGCCGATGCCTTCAAGTAAGTTGCCTTCTGCAAGTGAAAATAATCAGGATTTACCATCATGTAAATTGCATTTTATCATGTTTTTATTCGTGACCCACAGGAATCAATGAAGCTAAACAGGACGTGTCTCTAAAGCAACCTGGAGAACCAACCCTCGAATTTGAAGAGCAAAGGAGTGTACCAGAATATTTCACATGTGATTAGGATACTGACATCTCAATGGCAAAAAGTGTCCGAATCATCCTGAATTCACCCCTATCTCAATATCTTGTCTTGTATCTCTAAATGAAAATCTGTTAGCCTAATTATAATTAAATTGTTTTCAAAATCATCAATTGTCATTTGTGCTTTTTTTTAGCATTAGAAAAAAGGCTGTTTGAAGTGTCATCTTTTTAGTTCAACAGAAGAAAGAAACTGGTTTGGGAAAACATAAGGCTGAGAAAATGATGAAAGAATGTTCATTTTTGGGTGAACTATCCCTTTAATATGTATGCATGTCCACACAGCTGTTATTTGGGAATCCTTTTTTTGTCTTTTTGTCAAAATTATTCTGTTCTCATCTCTCTTTGAAAGCAACTGAGAGATAAATCATATCAAATCCAACATTCTTCATAATTTAATTCATAAGTAACACAAAACACATTTGCACCACCCAGAAGATCAGGGGCCTGATGTATAAACCTTGCCACGCATTCATTAGGATTTTGTTTTTTTAATATATGGCATAAATCTGGTTTATAATAGTTAACTAAAACCATAAAAAATTCTGTTACCTATAAAATACACTTTAACTTAAATAAAATATTTTAAAAAGTCTACCTATTTCTCATTTTCATAATAATAATTCATTACATTTATATAGCGCTTTTCAAAGCGCTTCACATGGAAGGGGGAATCTCCCCAACCACCAGCAATGTGCAGCATCCACCTGGATGATGCGACGGCAGCCATATTGCGCCAGAACGCCCACCACACACCAGCTTATTAGTGGAGAGGAGACAGGGTGATGAAGCCAATTAGTATATGGGGATGATTAGGAGGCCATGATGGACAGAGGTCACTGGACAAATTTGGCTAGGATGCCGGGGTTACACCGCTTCTCTTTCAAAAAGACATCCTGGGATTTTTTGTGACCACAGAGAGTCATGACCTCGGGTTTAACGTCTCATCCGAAGGACGGTGCTCTTTGACAGTAAAGTGTCCCCATCACTACACTGGGGCGTTAGGAGGACCCACACAGACCACAGGGTGAGTGCCCCCTGCTGGCCTCACTAACACCTCTTCCAGCAGCAACCTGGTTTTCCCAGAAGGTCTCCCATCCAGGTACTAACCATGCAGGCTCAACCCTGCTTAGCTTCAGTGGGCAACCAGTCTTGGGCTACAGGGTGATATGGCTGCTGGCCATATTTTTAGCCATAGATTTTAGCTTGATAGCCTATACTTAAATAATTAAAATGGAAATAAAAATCAATAGAGACTACATAAACATTAAAAAACTAATAAAATGAACAAAAACACAACTAAATTACTAGTTAATTTAAAATATTGAAGGGTTGGTCAAAATCCCTTGCCTCTTCAAATGCATCCATAATCATATATCCTTTTGAATGCTTATATACTTCCTTTATAAAAATCAATAATCAAATATATTCATTATCACATAATAATTTTTATATTCTTTGTGCTTGTGAAATTATATTTTCTTAAATGCATGTGATGTAAATAACCAGTTTCTTTTAGGTGCATTCCAATCTTACTTTGAGATTGCCCGTAGTACACGCAGGACACGAAGGCCACGTAACCCACAAGGCCGTTTGTCTCTTTCTCTGGGATCAGTAGAAAGGTTAGAGGGTCCTAAAGGCAGCGTGGACACATATGATCCTTCGCTGGACAGATGGTCAAGCTATATTGAGCGTTACTATCGAACTTTAATTGTTGTATTAAAATGTATTCTTTCCAGTATATTTCCTTCCTTGGGAGTAAATGTCAGTTATCTGTTTTTCTCCCAAACGAGTGAATGTTTTAGCATTATGTTTTGGTATACTTAACTGATAATAAGGAGCTCAGACTCTCTTCAGCCTTGATGGGAGCTGTTATTTGCTAGTGTCTGTTATTTGTGTGTGTGTGCGTATGACATTCTATGTAGGTTCTGGACGTTCGGACCAGACAACCCGACGCCCTTCTCTAACCTGCGAGGCCACCACAGACCTAAATCTAATGAGTGGACGACAACTATCTTGACTAATGGCGATAGGCACCCCTATCTCCTCACATGTGTTAAATTGTTTAGGATTTCATGTTTCTTAGCCAATGAGAATCATTCAACCTGTAAGCAATGACGTAGCTTAGACCTTGGAAATGGTATAACTGCTGTGATCTTTGTAACTGTAAGAGGGGCGGCCTACGAACTCCTGTGTGAGTCTTGAAGCTGACTTCTGCTGATGAAAATCCAAACTATCTTCAGTAAAACTTTTCTTTAATTTTTTATAATTCTGACTCCGGGTCTTCATTCTTCATATCTGGTTCTGGGTCTTTGACTGTATACCCCTTACAATATGAATTAAAAAAACTATAAAATAGTATCTCAAAGATACTAAAATAAATAGAGTAAATACTGTACGTGCCCACGGACCAACAGATTGATATCCATTTAAGCTCATATGACACAAAAAAAATATTATCCAGAAATCAAAACTAGAAATGTAGGACATCTAGTGGTGAACTTATGAGGCTACAGGTGAAAAAGTCACATTCTCAAAACTAAATTTCACCTTGAACACACTCACAGACAGATAGACAGTTGTGTTGAGTTGTTGGATTAGCTACTGTTTTTTTTGTTTTGGGAGGGAAAAAATCAGAAAGATTTTATAAAAATATGTTTTATTTGCTTTAAATGTTAATCATTGTATATTTTCTTGATGCTCAGATGATGAGAGGGAAACCACTGAACCTGTTGTGTTTGTTGATAAGCAGGTGTTTCATGGTTGGATCATTGACGTATCTTTCATACAGTAACTGCCTTTGTATTTTCTCCTCTTTTCTGATCTTCTTCTTCTCTCTCTCTGCAGTGACCTTTTTCTCTGCCAGTTTATAAATGAGAAGAAGTCCATTCTGCTTTCTGCTGGACTTCTGGCTGATTTTGCTGCTGCTTTCAGGCTCCTCCTGTACGTGTGTCTTTTTCCCCTTTGCAGGAGGTGGAGTAATATCTGCTGCCTGCTCTGTCTTTCTATCTTCTATCTTTGCTTGTCTTTCCGGCCTTCTCTTTTCATCTTCTCTTTTTTTCGTATGTGTGACTTTTGCACTGTCTCCATCCATCTCCGTCCAAGCAAGCTTTGCTTTTGCTGGTGGTGGAGTAGCATATTCATTCTTTCTCTCCTTTTTCATTCTCCTTTCTTGTCTCAGATCCACCTCCACTATTTCTACACTGTAAAAAAAAAACATATATTTTCATGATTTGTTATAACAACTTTTAATCTTTTATCAAATCAACTTAGATAATTAATGTGGTTCATAGTATAATATTTTGAGTTTCTATTAATTAAACCAATTTCCTTCATTGTATTTACTCAAATATTTTATTTCAATGAACTAAAAAAGGCAACCAGGTAACTTACTTTTGTAAGTTAAACCAACAATAATTGTTTACAGTGTACACACCTGGTCATTTTCATTACAGGAGTTTTATCTTCAACCTCTCTCTCCTTTTTTATCGTCTCTTCCTCAGCCTTGGTATCTTGTGCAGGACTGACATCCATCCAAGCATGTTTTGGCTTTGCTGGTGGAGTTGCACCTGGGAGTTTTATAGTTGAAGAGTATGTCTGTCTCTCCTTCTTTCTCCTTCTCCTCCCTCTCCTTTGAGGTGGACGCTCTTGCTCCACCTCAGCTGGTGCCATCTGAACCATCAGTGTTTCTGCCACAGTGGAGAAAGATATTTCCTCCTCAGAAGGTGGAGAGAGATGCCAAGGTGCTTCCTGAACCATCAGTGTTTCTGCCACTTCAGTGAAGGAGCTTGGCAATTCCTTTTCAGGTTCTTCGAACTGAGCCATCAATGGTTCTGCCACAGTGGAGAAAAATGGCAGTATTTCCTCCTCAGCATGTGCCTCTTGAACCATCAGTGTTTCTGCTCCTTTAGTGGAGGAACATGGCGATTTTTTCACCTCATCAGAGGGAGTTTCCTTTTCAGCCATCAATGGTTCTGCCACAGTAGAGAAAGATGTCCATGTTTCCACCTCATCTGGTAGAGGGTGTTGCGGTGCCACCTGGATCAACAATGGCTTTGCCACTGTGCAGGAACGTGGAAATATTTTCACTCCAGCATGTGGAGTTTGGGATTCAGGCTCCTCCACTGGAATCATCAGTGGTTCTGCCGCACTGGAGAAATCTGGCAATATTTCCAGCTCAACAAGACAGTCCTCATAGTCCATCTCTTCATCCATGTCTGTATCTTCTGGAGGTCTCTGGATGGGCTCCTCCTGAATGCTGCTACATCCTAGGTTGCCATCACTGCACTGTCTTGACAAGTGGTGTCTTGGCAAGAAGAAGCTTAAGCACCCAAAAAGTTTGCTCAGTAATGTCATTTTCGTAATGGATCACAATGGATTGACAATACTTATCCAAAAATCCAATATCACTAGCAAAAATCAATTATCTGATATGTCTGCTATGATACTTCTGCAATAGATTGATAAAATATCCAAAAATCCGATTTGAACTAGCAAATATCAACAGTCCAATATCACTGCTAATCGCTGTGTTTTCCTCCTGAACTCGACAGACTGATGCTCAACTTTGCACTTTACCGCGGCCCGCATATTATGACATCATATGTTTTATAATGGAATTCTAAATAGCAGCTGCCATTACGGCTAAAATCCTTCATTTGAGTCTGCACTTTCAATAAATCGTTTGACTCGGTTCACAAAACTTCTCTGAACGACTCGTTCATGACAGGAAAGGATCTCGAGTCAAGGACTCAAACGCTGTAAAAACGCCAATTAATAAAACGAAGCAATTTCTTTTTAAGTTGTTGAACTAATATTCATGCTTGGGATTAGTTAAGAAGACATCATATTTCGTCGGCAAAAATATATTAAAAAATTAAATGAAGGGATTTTTTCAAATCCAGTCAACATTTAGAATGGCTAATGTTGACTGGACTATTATACAACACAAATTTAGC